ATGCCTGGGGATTTTGTGCTCTATCCTTTTATAAATTGAATTCGGCAAATATCAAACCTCGATTATTTGATATTAAACGTTGATTTTACTAGTAGAATCGAAAATTATCAGAGTTGACAAGCACGACAGTACAAGGGAAGTGCGTATGAAAACGTGCAGATCCGTGCCCCCTATGGAGTATCTACGTATAGTCGCTATGTTTTGCTCATCCCCTGGATCGCAAAACATTTCCTCTAGGTGGAAAAGACCGGACCTCCGTACTCCGCTGGCCTTATCTGTTTGTTACACGTCAGGCCCCGCCCACATACCGTATAACTCTTGCTCAGCTTATTCCGTTACCTTTCCCTTGCATTCTTTCTCATTGATATAGCTCTCACATGGTTAGCTTCTCCAGATAAGTATGTGGAATACATTTGAACTAAGTTTGGGATCGGATGTTTCGAAAAACCACTACATTTCAGTGTTCTTGAAATTTTTCGTGTCACTCAAAGGCTTCCTTGCATTTCTTTAGAGTAATTTTGGTCAGTTAGTTTGTTCGTGATATTAGCAGCCGATCCCCTTTCAGTTTTGAGATGAGCAGGTGGAAAATGCCATTGGCGACGCAATCTATTTTAGAGCTAAGCAGTCACTACTTACTATTTTTCAGCATTGTTCGAAGAACTGGTCATTTTCAAAGCGGTCACACTCCTAAATGTCCATTATCACAGACGATGATCGACTACAAGAAATCATCGCTGGAGTAATTATGTTTACGGTGAGTTCTGACTCATTAACCATTCCAATTTTACTTCGCATGATGACCGTTGATGAGGCGACGGTCTCTGACCCTTAGTCTGGTTCTTGATGACTGTAGAAGTTCAAGAGAGCCCACTGACAGATACAAGGACCTTCTATTAATCCTAAATGTTCTCATATAGGGGCGTGCAAAAGGATGAACTCCGCAAAATTAATGATTGAGAAACAGCCTAAATAGCTTAAAATAGAGCAAACCGGCTCAGCCGACGCACACACCTAAGGGGGACTAATTCTCATGACGTTATAGAGACTTTATAAGTTGTACTATTCACACAGGGACCGACAGGTTGCATGTGGGCATCTTACTGTGGCCAGCTCTACGCAATCGCGCAAGCATTTGGACAACTCGTCCAAATACACCGTCCACGCAACTTTTCTTGTCGCATTCTCGTCCAGTCCCTATCTCTAGTAATTTCTTGAAGCCTCAAACGCCGATTTTGGTGTTTTTCTTCCATTCAACACCCCAAAATCATTGTGCGATGTGCCTTTAATAAACTCGAGCGCACTGATGTAACCCTAACCGTTTCCTAGGAGGAAGTGAATCTTGCCACATAGTGTGGGTTTTTACTCGTTCATTTCTCCTTTGTCTTCTTGGCACTTTGTTCTTTGTTCCCTGGCACGAGAAGAAGCTTTTTGTCTTTCTTAATTAGCGGAAAAACTTATGAAAAATATGTTGTTCTATGGAATTTGATTGAATCAAAAACCCAGCTCCTGTTAGATTCCTGAAAAACAGTAAACAATTATAAGCCTGATTACAAGGATCTTCTCACGAACTGTTTTTAACAAGGATGTTTCCCATATGAATTGCTAGAATTGCATTCTATAGTATCTTCACTTATTGTTTTGGTTTTCTGCCACATTACTTCAAAAATCTCTAATGATGATCAGGCGAATGCGCAGAATGCGCATGAAGGAGTATTTCCTGCCCCTGTACCAATTACCACATGAATGACGTCGCCGGTTAGAGATAATCGTGAACGCAGGGCTAGTAATAAATAGCGGCCAGGGCTATGGATATTGTTTCCCCCATAAGGGTGAATCAGGGATTGCCTGGTCAACTACAGTCCATAGGAGGTTTCAGTTCTCCCAACGTAGCTAGGATAGTAAGGTCTCGACTTGGTTTTATAGCGACTTTACTTCGTTTAAGCCATTGACGACGCTGGCAGACCACACCATACATCTTCGTGAGACCGCGAGGCTCGTCGACAGGCTATGGTAGCACCTATAGTACCTTCTTATTTATCACCTGTTTCTCAAGCTTTCAAGTATAAGTTACCTTAACGGCCGTTAGAAAATCTTGAGGCGTAGCTTTATAATACTCGTTTACTCCCAACTACAAAAACGAGAGAAAACAAAGGTCCATGTAAGGGCAATATGAGAAGAAGTAATAAAGCGTTATTAACTTATCGTTCGTATCGTTATTAACTCAGCATTATTAGCGTTAATTACACATTGTCCTCGTGATAGTTTTGAAAATCAATCAAAATAATCAAATTTGTGGCACATGCTGCTTTCACGAGAACTTTTTGACATGAGGCATGAGCATGAACTTTTTCTTCGGGATGTTCCATGTGCATATTCCCTTCACTTCTCTCTGGGACCGTTTTCGTTCCAATATGCAGCTTTTTTTTCAAAGTGCAAGATTGACCGAAAATATTTTGAAGAGGAGATTTCATAAGGTTCATAGGCTACGCTCGTTTCTTCGAAAGGTATTGATGTTCCGAAAAAATCTTTCCCCAGAGTAGCGACTACATGTGTTCCTGATTCTGAAACCTTTCGGGCAATTCAGCCTACTTGGAAACAGTTATCCCAGCGATGCTATCCCAACATGCCAGCATCCCAACGAAGATTGAAGGGAAAAATTCTTCCGTCATGTTTAAACGGAGAGGAAAACGGAGTGATCCCACACGCTTGACACACAGTCGCAAATAGGTCAGAAAACATTTATAGATGCGTTTCGACTTGTATTTTGCCCTGGCAGACCGCCAAATTAGTGTTAGGGAGAAGGGGATGGTTAGTAGGAGAATCCGACCGCCGAGAATGTTATGTAGTCGAGTGGTCTTGCAGTATCGATGCGAAGTGTTCCCATGACCGTAACCAATCCACCCCTTTCTTCGGAGGGCTGATAGTAGCTCCACAACAAGCGGGCATTCCCACCCATTCAAGGACGGTGCATACCAACTGCCCGATAAACCTACATAGTCTCGATGCGCCGTTGGCAATGGAATGTGAAGATGTATGATTGCAAATAGTAGAAAAAACAATCCCAAGACAAAACACTTTGTCTTTCGATCCCTTGGGTTTTTTTTTTGTACGTTTGTAATTATAAATCTCTACATTCCATTGCCGTCGGTCCATCGAGACTGTGTAGGCTTGTCGAGTCGAACGTTGTGATTTGAAGAATGCATTGATGAATCATTCGCACCTAATGATCATATAGTCGCATAGAAGTCATTCGGAACAGATAAATGTGTTAAGGATAGTCTCTGGAGTCAACTTCGTTGTCAGAATGCGCTCCCACATTAAGCTTCCATCTATGATAGAATAGCAGTGGCGGTTGGAATATGCATGCGACCCAAACAATGACCTACGGTGGCCAGCCGATGTACAAATTAGTGATTTTACCCTTCCTGCATATCTGGACCCAGTTTACCGACCCCGTATGGATAAATGGCTTGGTTGGAGTGCCTCCGCCTTCTAAATAGATTTAATGAAAAAAACTGTTCAGAACATCGAAACCCAAGTGCTATTAGGGTGTGTTCCGGCTGTCACCAGAGATGAGATTAGATTCTTAAGTCCGCTACGCCTCACTTGACCACTGGGTGCTTTACGACTGGGTACCTCATGCTGTCAGTCTAGTGGTAACTGTTAGTAAATTGAGCACCTCAGCCGTAGATTCTCTTCCTGTCGAAAACAGTGATTTCTACGTCGGCATTATCAGCATCCCTCACATCCCTCAAGGAAATCATCTTACTGTTTGCTAGGAAATAATGACATATTATAGATATGAATACTCATATTAGGGTAACCCAAACTTTTGTAAGATGTCGTTCACCGCCGTGGAAGTTCCTCTCCACAGGATTCATGTAGACCGGAGTTCCCATTATACTAGGGCGTCCATCCAGTTTTGGGTGAATGTACCCGTACTCCATAACTTGGAGGGACGGTACGAACGTGCGTCCGAGGATGCGCGCGGCAACCTGTGCGGCGAAGGTCGTGACGATCTGTATGACTCTGACGCCAATTTTCGGGGCACAAACTCTAAGTAGAGTAGTTTATTAGGGACAGATGATCCTTCTAATCTATTCTACTTCGAATTTTGGCCCCAATGATAGGCGCTAGAGTCGTTCAAACAGTTACCAACTTCGCCGCGCAATTTGCCGCGCGCATCCTCAGACGCACGACTTGACACACACCCCCATATCTTGCCGTGGTTTAAGATGTCTTATATGTGCCGTGCACCTAGACACGCACGCTTGCAGAAATGGCACCAAAATTCACATTCAAATGAACGATTTTCCCAATACTTTTGCGCTTGACGATTTTTTGCGCGTGGATCCTATATGTGCTCATTGTCCAGTGTAATGTAAGTCAAAGTGTAATATGATTAAGTATTTTAATGTGAATGTAATCTTTTCCTACTAAAATGAGATGAAATTCCACTACTGGGCGCATTCATAGTTCGTCTCTGACGTCGGCACTGGCATTAGGGCGCCGACGAATTGTACGCTCATGGTGAGTGACCACCGGCTGCTTTCAGACTTTGACGGCCGTCCGTCCGTTCGACGTATGCGCGACGGCGGTCGGGTGCGTGTCGCGCCGGCGGTTCTAGGAAGGTGTTGACAGCGTCTGATCGGTATTCGGCGCTGTCAACAACTTCGAACGGACGGAGGGATGAATCCTTGAATTCTAAAAGCAGCCATAGACAGCTGCAGACGACAACGCAGCATTACGAACTTGCAATCATACGTCTTCTTTTTCTATGGGACCTCATCATCTCACTTGCAACCGCATCCCAAAATTCTCACACTCAGATCTCCCTTTTTTACCTGTTCGTTACAAGCTCGCACCCTGCAACACAAGCCAGCAGCTTAACTTGCGAGCTATTGATTAACGGCAAGCGTCGACTTCAGCGACGCGGGCACTATGAATGCGTCCACTTGCTTACTCTCTGAAAGAGTTAGGTGTAATCAGCTTGAATTTAGGTGAGTGTCATCGGCACTGTGTTGAATGTCTCTGCTGTCATACTGATTTGTCGCACACCCTCTTTCCACAATGCATTCGGCTACATATGTGCCTCGCATTTACTTGCTGATGTTGGAGTGCTCGTAATGTTTTTATTCTGGGCTGCTCCAGCAGCGATACTGTGAGTTTCATTACAAACATTTGTAAACTTCAGTCATCAGTAGATTTTGATTACACATTTTTTCAGCGTTCATATTGAGCTTAGTACCTGCTGTGTGACCCTGAATGGGTTTGATTAGTGTGATTGGGATCAGCTCTGAAGTCAAATATATGCGTGATACCTATGATCGATTACCTCTAGTTTGCTCTTTTTTCGGGAAGCCCCCTTGTAACCCTCTCTGTAGTAAACGTTACTACTACTTCAAGGGCCTGCTTTGCTTGTTCTCGGTCCTTTTTGTTATTGGTATCACCAACGAATTTCTAACCAGTCTGTTTCCATTCCCAGCCAACATAAAACTGCAAATCAAGAACCTTTAGGATGCTTACAGACATGTGAGACATTCATCTACTTTACCACCCAGGGCCTTTTCGTTGCTCTAGTTTTAGCGGGCTCGGGCGGTAGGAAAATCAAGTCACAAAGGGTTTGGGTACGAATGGCTGCTTTCATAGTCCACGATTTGGCGAGCGACCGGTCGCTCGGTCGCCCGCTCGGTGGGTCCGCGACTGGTCGCTCGCCAAATCGTGGACTATGAAAGCAGCCAATTAGGTATGGCGATGAACGCATAGATGCACTGAATATAGTGGCTAGTCCCAGATAGAATATCATTGATACAAAGAGCTCTTCCTTCTTATTAACTGAGGTAGTCAGCTGCAGGATGCGGAAAGTTGAAATCATTTCCTTAAAATTATTTCAGGGGTGTTTCTAAGACGATTACACTTTCCTACTTTGGTGAAAGAATGGGTCAAATTACTATGTTGTTCTGGTACGCATCCATATATGGCCAACTTCAAATTGCTCTAAATCGACTTGTTGCAATATCATCTCCACTATTGTACAAGTACGTTTTTTGCCTGATCTACTTGTTGTGTGACAATTCAGGACAACTTTATTTTATACCTTGCAGTTCAACATTCTCAACGAAACGAACGGTGCAAATTTTGGTTGCTTTTTGGTTGCTTTCAGCGGCTCATGTTGCAATTTATTTTTTTGGTAGGTTTGCATCTTCTTGACACTATGTCCTATCGTTTAATAGAAAATAATATTTTTTGAAATTGTGCTTTACAACTTTATTTTTGAACATCCGCCTTCTTGCAGTTTGCTCCACAGAATGTTTAGAAGTCAAGTACAGTAAAACCCGGAGCTCCTTTTTATCATTGTTTTTGACAGATCCTTTTACATTCCTATTCATCGGTGAGCAATTAGTCCTCTGCCCCATGTTCTGGCTGGGTCGTACTCGTACTCACTACCTTTGCGGGTTTCAGTAGTGTAGTAGGCAATAAGCCCGAGATGTTATAGTGTCGTCTACAACCAGACAATCGTCGGTTGCTATGGTTAACCTGATAACGTCACTGATCTGTTGTCGTCATTTATGCCTGATTCGTCATTTATGCCTATTCACTTGTTCGTGTTGAAGATGTCCCATGAGTCTTTGACGGAGGATCCTATTCCGGGCGTGTAAGTGTGTCCCGCACGGTATTGTGAAAAAACCAAATATTGAGTACCGAAAAAGTAGATATTGAGAGGCAAGATAGGGCAGCCTAATCACCGACTGTCCATCTCACCTTTGCAATTCATGCCTACAAGACGAAATACTTGTTGCCAATCAATCTTGTAAATTACATATTCAGATGATTGCGACTTCGTATTTGACACCAAAGCCTATATATGGACGTACGCTGGCTCGCAATGTGGTAATATTATCTCATTTTATTTGGATTTTTTACATGGAACAACGCTATGCTGTATTGTCGTTCTTGTGAATACCATTTCATTTTTTGCGATCATCAAAGAAGCAAAAGTGAGTGTCTTCGATGTTTTTTTTTTCTTTTTAGACGCGTAGCGCTGCTTTCTGCGCAATTGAATCAGTGGCAGCTTCTTAGGGTTCATTAAAACAGCTTTAGAAATTGTCGAACTCGTTTGGGCGGCCACAGGAGGTGACGATGCTCAGAAGGAATACTCGTCTCTACTTGCAGGTAATTCTTTGCTTGGCTCTGTGAAATGATAAGCCATTACGGGGTGTGGTGCAGTAGGGACGAAATTGCGCGTCGCGGCGAGAGAAACGTCGCGCGCGAAGAAAGTAGCAGAAAGCAGCAGCAGGTAAGAAATACAGGAACAAAAGAACTGGCAGAAGAATCATGCCAAAAGTAATAATTGGCTGTATGAAGAACGCTAGAACTGTTATAACGAGGCAAATGTCCCACGACAGCCGCGTACGGCGTATCGATTACACAAAACCGTGCGTTGCCTTCAATATTGAATGCACCCCTATAAATGTTTACCTCATTGTTTTGTTTCCATAGTTGTTTTTGGAGATTTCTATCCAGTTTGTAGTAAGAAAAGAGCTACTTTGTTTTTCAACGACTAACGTATCTTTACCACCTTAGCCTTTGTGAATTGAACTCACTTCGCTTTGTATTTCAGGGATGTGTTCAGGCTGGATGCTTTGCGCTTATGATTTTATCATTCCATTTCTTCTCAAAATTTGCGACAACAAAATGGGCCACGTTTGCTGTGACAACCTTTGTGTGGGAACTATGTCATGCCATGGATGGGTTGGTACTGACTAGATTTACCCTTCTTCCAATATGAACTTCCAGTATTTATCTTTTTAGGTTCATTTTGATAACTTTCCATGAGAAATTTCGAGAGGTGTTGTATCGTCCATCATTGCTGTGGCGGACGAAATCTCGATGTAAAATTACCTTCACAGCAGCTTCGAGGTAGACTTATTTCAAGTCTGACGTGCATTTGAAAATCTGTAGACAATGACTAAATTTGTGGTTTAGAATGATTGCATGAGCCACCGTGCCGGAAAGTTCGTGGCCGCTCATCTGTCAACTACCAGTTGGCCAGAGTTCAATGACTTTATCCGGGCAATTGTATATTTATAATTGTTTTCCATATTAGAAAGATAATAAAACTGTGTCAGTGACTGTTGTGTTGATCATTTATCACTTCGGGGTTCCGCTAACCCATCCAATTTCTCTTCAGAATTCGTTCGAAAACGTTTCCTCCTGTACAATAACGTACGTGAAGCGGTCGAAACTTCGCGGGAGACGGGCAGTTGAAACGGTTTAAGGGAACCGATTCGCCGCTCGCGGCAGCCGCGGACTTGTTGCCTCGTTATTGCGTCATTAGCGTTCTTCATACAGATCGATCGATACGCGATTACTACTTTGACGTGATTTTGCTGTTACTTCTTTTGTTCCCGTTTTCCTTTCTCGCTATGTGTTCCTGCTTCATTCTGCTATCTTCTTTCGTGTGCGACGTCGCTCTCACCGAGAAGCGACCATTTCGGGTCAACTGCACCACATTCAAACGTTACTTGTGCATATCGAAATGAACCGAAATAGTATCGTGAAAAGATCTTGGAAATCACTTGAATCCATTAAGGTTTTCGCAGTGAGAAACCCGGCTTGTGGAACCCCGGCTTAACCAAGAAGATAAAGGTACAACCCAATCTCATGCAAGGGTGAAGCGGCGATGCAACGAAGATTTTCCTGGTACCATCGTTCCTTTCACTTATTTTCACTTCATTTTATTTTGATGGTACAAAGCACGAAGTTTTCATCCCCTGAGGATTTTGCATTGCACAAAATCGAAATGAGCTTGGAAACATTGTTTGCGCTTTTTATATACAGATTGGCTTGAGAAGGGCAGGCGACCCAAGTGAACCTTGGACTTTGCTTCACCGTGCTAGGAGAATTCAGTCCCTTCGCGACTTAAGAAATTCTAAACTTCAACCTGGGCGGGGTTGGATTCACCGGTCGTACGGGTGACAATGGCGCCTCTCGCTAACTGTTTCCTATGATGTAGGCCGTTTACCACAGGTCTCGATCTGTTAATTAATAGTCGTGTGTAACTGCACCTGAAACACCATAGACGTAAGAGCATTTACTTCAAAACGACGACTAGACAAAACAAAATAATGTAAAGCTAAAAGAAAGGATGAACTTAAGGATACAATGAAGACGCTGTGATGATGTTGCGCACGGTAGCAAAAATGGATCAAGTTCATGCCATTAAAGTAAGTCTGTAAAAGAGACTAAGGCGCTTGACACTGTGGTATCGATTGCGCTGTCGTGCTGCTTGTCACACGCGTGACGCGACGCGTGCGGTGCAGCACGACGAGCAATCGATACCGTACTGCCATGTGCCTTACTCTCGGGCCTGGATGACATAATTTTATAAATTAAACAAAATATTATTACAACATATTAATAACGAGGATCAATGAATGCAATCTCGAAAGCATTACAAGTAGAAATTAGGGTCGTTAGCAAAAGTCATGATACCTAAGGAGGCAACCGAAGTTCGGGTAATTTGCGAAAATTTCCTAAGGAAAATGGAAATGTGGCGAAATGGGTGTGAAAAATATTTGAGGCTCGTATTCGAAATAAGAAAAGAAGTGTGTGTTGTATCGGCTGTGGCGGCTTGATCACTTGATACAGGGCGAGTTATCAAACAGTTACTGAAGCGATTATGCAGAGATGATTTTTCTTTACAATACCGAACATTTGCTCTTCTCGGCCCATGGGTTCACTTTCTTATCGATCGGATTCACAAGTGGGTCCTCTTGCGTCTCAGTGTAGCGACGAAGTCTGAACGAGAAGGTATTCATCAGTACGACACTGAATATGGGTACGAATAGCCAGGATTCGCTGCGGAACTATCCATTTATGCCTGAAACCAGCGACAGGCCTTTGAAGGAAGGTGCTCAAATTAAGGCCCAGGGAAATAATTAGTTATAGGACTTTTTTAAAGGAATTACTGTAGTTCCAGATATGTTTTAGAACTATTCAATGCTTGTGGCAGATTGCCTGTTGAGAAGAGACGTTAATCCTAGCTAAGCTGATAATTGGCTACAACAATGAGTGTAACGACAGAGGGAATTTCCATGTGGGACCTTTACTAATCGCCACCGGTTTGCCAGGCCTATTACTTCTGGTTAGAAAGACTTTCAAATCCAAAACTCAAAGAAAAAACCAGTGAACCTCATCTTATTACATGTGGTAATCCCAACGAGGAGAGCCTTTTATATAGGAGTAGGTTACTGGACTGTGTCGGTAATGGATACAGGAATCTGTCAATACACTGCAGCCATCCTTTTTGCTTTACCTCGCTTTTTTTTCTTTCAAAATCTCCAGCTCATCATTTATTGTTTAATTTCGATTAAACTTGTTCTATTTGTTCAGTACGGTAACTCTCATAAAAAGCTAGCACCCGATGACACGCGGCGGTTGCGACGCGCTGTTTGTAAGTGGAGAACTTAGGTCTTCGAAAGAGGCCTTTGAAGGATAATCGAGGGGCAGCTTCCTTGAAGCGAATGGCAAGCCATTCTCAGGAAATCATATTCTTTCTTCACAATGAAAGCTTTGACCATGAATATAGGGGTACAGTAATCCAATGTATCTCTTGGATCGGGATCAAGGATGAAGGACGTCGAAGGGTTTCCTAGAAGAATGGAACATTTCTCCTTCTCCCTTCCGTCTTATTCTACGGGGGGAAGTGTTTCACTCCATGCTTTGCCTGACTGCTTGAATTTGCTGCGACATTAAAGTTACGGACCCTTAAAAAACCACTAAGTACTTCAAAATCGGACATGATTAAGTCAAAAGCGTTCTGGTCCGTGTCAGGGGAATTCCGTCTCCCACTTCTATGACAGTAGCTGTCAGTTTTTTGGATGATCAAGGAGGATTTTTACCAGTAGACTGGTTTTCGACACTAAATGGAACTCTTTCTGGAAACAAAGACGAAAGACTGGTTAAAAATGGCAAGAAGGGAAAGGAAGAAAATGCGAGCATCGTAAAGACTTACTCGGTTGCACTTTGACTGATTGGGGTCCGTTCGATGTTCAGTTGACTGCGAAGTGAATCGACACTGCGTTGCATATCGGACTTGTCCATCTCTTCCTGAATTTCGTCATCAATGGGTTGATTGTCGGCGGCAGTTTTAGACATTTCTTTTGATAAACGACAAAACGGCCATATTTAAATGGATTTCAGGAGATAAATTCACAGAAATTGCAGTCGTGGGAAATGTCAACGTATATTCATAAAATCGATTCCCAGGACCAAAACCACTGCCGGGCAGGAGGGGATTGCCATCTGAAGCTCTGGCCAAATCGATGATGAAGCATTAAAGTGGCCGGTTAGGTCCATGGAGACAAGAGATTAATTGGGTATGGTGGGACACAAATGAAAAATGAAAAGTCATTGACGGCCTATTGGCCTGACAAAATCGGGCAGCCGCTCGAAAAGGGATTTTTTTGTGAGCTTGGAGGAACAGCACTCATCGAATAGGCTTCTATCTGTTCAGGACATCTACTGGAGGATCCTGAACTACTTTGATTGCTTTGAATGCATTGAAATGAGTTTCTATACAATTAATTATTCCATTTTTAAAATTAAAGTTGTGGTTGTCAAGAAAATAATAAAGTGAAAAAAGGGCCCAGGGATTGATGATGCTCCACAAGATGAGCGGAAAAATTAAAATTTTTCGAAAAGGTTGACAATTGAATCCAATCTGACGCAGTTATCGCTGGAGCTTTCAGTTTAGCCCCAGGGTTGGCTAAATTGAACCGAAAACAGCAAATAACCGGCAAGCAACTGACAACAGAGAATAAGAGAACTATATGGGAGGGTAGATGGCCAGTAACGAGTAGGCTACCAATGAAAGCTGATCACCCGGTTGAGGTTGTGTGAGTGTGAGCGTGTGGGGGACGGCGACGATGCAGAGGCGGCGATCGATTTGCACGACGAGAATGAGGAGGGTGCGAGACATCAGTGCAAGGGTGAGGACTACGACCAGTAAATCATCCCACACATACCCGGGACCACCCGTATCGAATAGAAACCTCGATTGCAATTGGTACGAGTTTGACTAATCCATGTCGGTGTCAACCCACGCCGAGAGCGTTGAAGGTTCAGAGGGAATACTGTGGTAGTAGATGAAGGCTTAGATTGAAGTCGAGAGAACTTTTGGGTGCGCCATGCATTTAACTTTTCTTAGGGATTGTATTGACGTTTGTGTGTATATTCTGCTTGCACAGTGAAATGCGGAAGCTCGCGATATATCGGTCTCACTAGATAATTTTATCACAGATGAGATTAACCTGTATGGGTTAATAGTTGTATTGCATCGGGCGCGATCTGATCAACCTATCACGCATGTAGTAGCGACGCCGCTTGCCGCTGCACTGTCTTTGCACGTAACGGTTCCTTGGTCCTCCTTTCTGCCGTAGCCTTCAGTTCCTACTTAATTTCTCTTTTGTGATGGGAGATTAATCTTAGTACTGGTCATGAAAATTTATTTAATTAGGTTTTTTAAATGAAATTTTGTATTTGATTGCTCTGTAATTTTTGGGTATTCGCTATAGTATTCGATTTATATTCTTTACTAGTTTTCCCATCTTACCACCTTCATCTCTGCCAAGTTTGAATACTTTAGGATCAGAAGCAAAGGAGTTACAGATTTCCGGTGAACTACACCTTTTGCGCAAGCCCCGCCCCTAGTAGGCGGAGCCTAGCTTAGATCACGTGTACCTAAGGAGTTCGGCTCATTCTCCTTTTGTTCATCCCCAATCCCCACTTTTTCCAACCTGTCTGAGCTGTTCCATTTGATTTCCAAACGACGCAGTATAAGTTAGTTACAGCGAAACAGATAAACAAACGTACAGACAAACAGACAAACGGACATTTGTGGTTTATATATAGTAAGGATTCTTTCGTTGCCCCTTTCGGAGAGGATCTGTCGATCGATTCTTTGGATGCACTACGCATATGGCAGTCTGGCATATTTCATGCGATAAGATTGGATGGTACTGTAAGCTAAAAACGTGACAATGGCAGCGATTAGGACTGACCAAACTCAANNNNCCAATTTTGAAGTACAGTAGGATAGTAGGATCAGCTGACCTTACTAATCTACCCTACTTAAGATTTGGGCCCCTATGACAAGCGCTGGAGTCGTCCAAAATCGCCACGAACTTCGCCGCGCAATTTGCCGCGCGCACCCTCGGACGCACGACTTGACACCCTGTGTGTAGAACCAAATGTAGATGAACCCTCGCTTCTGAACTTATTCACTACCTTGAACTCATTGAAAGACCACGGTCTGTGCAGGACGAGCCTCAACGATTTGACAACAGTAACAGTACCGTTCAAGGTTCGTCACAAGCCTTCAACTTATTCCGGAAAAAATTTATTAACGATAATAAACACTAAATAGCAGAGCCGTTCACTCTGCTTTTGCATTGAAGACTCTGTCGATGATTTTAGTTTTGAGGATCTACCATTGTTCCCAGGTGTTCTAAAACAGTCTGGACTTCCTTCTTCGAGCTTCACGGTCAGAAACCGTCGCCGAAGTTCTTGTCCTCGTCCTCGTCATCGTCGTCGTTCTCGTCGCCGTTCCTGTCGTTCCCGAACCCCTCGTTGCAGGGGTTTCTGGTTCAGAGTTCGATGGTGTGATGTTCTCAGGGGAAACCAGTTTAGAACGATCTTTTGCCACCTTCTCAGAAAGGATCGTAGGCTGCACCATAAGTGATTTTGGCCGCTCTTTTGGCTGGTCCCATAGCACTCCTCTGGATGAGATCTGAGTTTTGCCTACAGCTGACGATTTAATCGCACGTCTCTCTTCGCTTTTCTCGCGCAGCGCACTCTTTTCCGGTATGTGCTCGAGTGATCCAGGAACTAAAGATGATCCTTGACTAGCTTGCACCGTTGACTCAGTTTTTGTCTTCCTGTCAGTGACAATTGGAGTACTCGAGGCAACAACGACTTCAGTTGATTTCCGAATGGCGGATTTTACTATCGGGGTTGACGAAGCCACGATAGGAACGGCTAAAGACTTCTCATTGTCGGTAAACTCCGGTTCTTGTGCAGTTCGTGGTGCTTGACTGGAAGACTTCAGAGTTCTGACTCTGCTGGTTTCGTCGAACAGCCTCTGAAAAGGTGCTCAATTAGTTTTCAAATGTCTTAAAAACATAGTTTAAATTGTGCTTACAATACGGCTCTTGAAGGGGCCTTTGTGAACAATCGGCTCAAGATCAAAAAATAACTCTCGAAATGTGAGCGGTTGCGGCTCGATTTTAGGATAGCGTGGATCGATACGCCCTAAAAATGATTCTGTTGTAAATAAAAACTTCGTGCACACATTCAAGTCAAGTTCGAGTAGAGGGCGTCTCTGACGATTTCCTTGCACCCAACCGATCTCTCACTTCCTCCAGTCATCATCTATGAAAACTGGTTGTTCTGAATCCGTCTTCTCTGCGACCTCCCTGGGTCAGAAGGCTTCAATCGGTGTGCAGTAGGAACGAAATTGTCGCGCCGCGGCGAGAGGGACGTCGCGCGCAAAGGAATGTAGCAGAATGCAGCAGCAAGTAAGAAATACAAGAACAAAAGAAGTAATAGTAGAATCATGCCAAAAGTAATAATCATAGCGATTGAGCTGTATGAAGGACGCTAGAACTGTCATAACGAGGCATATGGTCCGCGACAGCCGCGTGCGACGAATCGATTACACAGAACCGCTCCTACTGCCCGTCTCTTCTCCAACCGCAGTGTCGACGTTTTTTCCAGTTCCGTTCAGTGCTTTTCTAATCTATATTTACGAGAGATGCGAAAAACAACGAAATGAGATGTGGAAAAAAACTAAAGCGCCTCTTCGAGAGGGAATTGTTGTTGAAAGCGTTGCTAGGGTTTATATCCTGTCACTCGAATACGCCGCATGCGGTGTCGGTGTTTCGCACGCGGCGATGCCGGGAGACGGGCGTTAGGAACGATTATGGGTAATCGATTTGCCGCACGCGGCTGTCGCGGACCACTCATCCGCCGTTATTACAGCTCTAGCGTTCTTCATACAGCTCAATCGATATGCGACCACTATTTTATGCATAATTCTACTATTAGTACTTTTGTTCTTGTATTTCTTACCTACTGCTGCATCCTGCTACATTCCTTCGCGCGCGACGCCCCTCTGACCCCGACGCGACCATTTCGTTCCTAACGCACCACACCCGGCGATGCCTTCTTATGCAATATCGTTCCGACATACGTTCTAGCTTCACTTTGTTCACTGGTATTATCCATCATTCTAGAGCAACGAGCTGCGAGTGATGGTTGTGAAGGGATATGCCTCTCTCGCCGCGTCTTCCAGTGCGCGAACTAATTGAAGGAGGAGATCCGATTGGCGCAACGAGACAACTAACCAAGAATCGCTAGGATTCCCACTACTCTACCCACTGTTGGAGTACCTCATCGACCGGAACGCATGGTCAGCGACTAATTCAGGTTTAGAGGTAAAAGCAAGAATCATGTGCTAAAATAAGATGTTCGACATTGGAGCCAATCAATACATATCCAGTGCTAGCCCGTGCCAATCGATACGTATTCAATGCCAGTCTGTGCCCTGTCGATCTGTTAGTCGAACTCATTTTCGGACTTACTATAAGACATCAGCATAAGAGAACATGCGATGACAAACAAAATCATGGCAGTAGCGAAGGCCGCCAACATCCATAATAATTGATTAGAACCGGCAGTATCGTAGGTCTTATCGAGAATGTGCAGTGTTTCGATCCAAACGTAAAGGAAATCGTGGCGAAACTCCTGTAACGGTCTTCGAATTNGTTCTACTGTACAAATGCTTCCGTAACGCTTACCTCCCAACCAAATGAACGAGTGAGCCGCACCATCTTTTAGCACTGTCTGCAGTCAAGTGAGGTTGACTGCAAAGCTGAGTGATTCATTTTTTCATTCAAAACAACTAAATTCAATAAACAGTTGGATAAGTTGAAGAGAGGCGATGAAAGAGCTACCGGTTCCAGTGATAAAGTGGAGATGAAGATATACCCTATTGCTGCAAGTAGATGATAAGGCTAATGGAAATCAAGAAAACGTAATGGCCGTCGCTATGAGCCAATCCTGGGACGATTTTCAGGTAAAAGCCTATTGCGACGGGAATATTCAAAAGTAAAGAATTGAAGGAAAGAGTTGAACAGGACTAGTCGATATGTTAATTGTGATCAATGGATTTGACCGTTGGAAACGATCGCTTCGCCATAACGTTTTCTAAAGTGCCTCAATTTAGCAATAGGTAGGATCAATGTAGGGTCCTGCTCATAGAGAATCTGGAAATGAAATAAATTCTACATTGTGTTTGTCTTAGATTTCGTTTTAGTATGAAAAACAGCCCATCCCATTTGTCCTGGTTTATTATTCCCAGTGTTCCTTGGAACATACGACATCGGAGGTGTGAGCGGCATAGATGTCCTTGTCAATACACCCCTGGCCATGAACATCGATCCGTACAAAAGCTTGACAACCTGAATCGGACGTTTGCGATTAAGAGGATGTGGCTGAACTCCAGCTCTAAAAATCTTCGCTGCATCAAACATCAAACTACGAAGAAGAGGAGTTGGAAAGCGTTTTACATGGAGGTGCTGAACGAACTATCTCATTCATCCCACCTGATGGAAGTTTGAGCTCATGAGTTATCGTCTTACAACTCAGACGACAACACATACCAATGAATACCAATGAGCACAAATCCTCTGAGTATTCGAATGAGTATGAGTATGAGTACGTCCATACATCGTAGAGACAATTGGTATTTGTTGAGTGCTCTTGTCACCTTTCCAGTAAAACTTAAAAGAACGCAGTAGCCAATGAATGTTTGCTGAATGTACGAATGCTATGAATGGGTTTGTACAAGGATTCCTCTTTCAGTCTGAATTAAGAATCTCACAACGTATTGTGGAAGTCAACTGCACCTTGATTTTTTGAAAAGTATGAAAGAGCCCGTTAGTTGGATTGTTGCCCTTCTAGTCCGGCACATTAGAATTCAGCACTTTTCGAGGAGCATCTCTCCCCAGAAACCCCTTCGAAGTGGTTCTGTAATAACTCAATATCTGCACAGCAGCACCTCGCTGGACTGGAGTGTTCTACAATTGTCGTGAGTGATTTTGGGGTTCGAAGTTCAAAGTACAAAGGGGTCAGTCCTTTCGGCCTAGTCCGTCGACTGCATCCATCGATTGGTGTTACCATTCTTTTCGCCTTTATTCGTAGTCACTTTTTTTGAAAACTTAGTTCCCAAGGAATTCCTTGCAAAATTTCTCATCCCCAATGGTGTGGATTCTGCTGTCTATCGTTTGTATGTGAAGGTAATTCGAATACTCAGAGGATCTGGGCTCATTGGTATTCACTTTTGGAAAATCTGACTTCATGGCGCAGAGGTTGGTTTATTGGAAGAATTACCAGCTGTTAGTCAAGTTTTCGAAAAGTTTTGCACAGAGAAAGTCTCGTAGTAATTGCGATCTTCGACCTTCGCTCCATGGAATAGTTTTTTCATCCTCATTGTGTTCATTTTGATACAAAATTTCAAGTAAAGTCGACTCAAGAGTATTGTGAGATGGAGTAAAGTTGTTTGGTTTTTTCTTTTCGTATACTTTTCTGACCGAACTTGAACTTTGATGATTTAACACCACCTTTTTGAACCCATCTTTGGGGAGCAAGTTAAATAGCTCCCGACCGAGTTTTCAGGTGTTTATAAAGTATTATAGTTATTCTCGTGACTTCAAAAAGTTTTCCCCAAAGAAATGGCGGTGTCTGTGTTCCGTAAAAGAATTCAATCAGAATCACGTTCTAGTCTCTAGGACGCTTCCCAGAGCTGAATCTCGTCTTATATAGGTTTCCAGTAAAGGTCAAGAGAACGCAGTAGCCAATGAATTTTTGCTGAATGAGCCGGTGCTACTGAATAGATATGAGTATTCACTCCTCTTTCAGTCTGAATTGAGAATCCCGTAACGTATTGTGAAAGCCAACTGCTCCTACTTAACATTTGAAGGGTATAAGGGAGGCCTTAGCTGGATTGTTGCCCTTCACACAATAGGATTCGATCAACAATTCCGAGAAGCACCTCTCCTCAGAAAACCTCCGGAGTGGTTCTGTAATAACTCAATATCNTTTTTTTTGAATGTGACTCGTATTGTTGTCCAATAAAAGTTGTCTGGTCCTTTTTTGTATACATTTCTGACCGAATTTGAACTCTGATGGATGAACAGCACCTTTTTGAGTTCATCTTTGAAGGGGCTCTCGACAAACAAGTTTGTCCAGTAGCTGTAAAGTATTGTAACATCTTCGTGAGTTGAAAGGTCATTTTCTCCAAAGAAATGACACTGTCTATGTTCCGTGAAAGAATTCAATCAGTATTACGTTCGAGTCTCAAAGGCGCCTCTCAAAAATGAATATCACATATAGGTTTTCAGTAGTTCTTAAGAGAATGTAGTAGCCACTGAATTTTGCTGAATGCGCGGGTGCTACGGAATAGATATGAGTATTTACTCCTCTTTCAGTCTGAATTGAGAATCCCGTAACATATTGTGAAAGCCAATCGCTCCTATTCATTACTTGAAGAGTATAAGAGAGGCTCTAAGCTGGATTTTTGTCCTTAGTTCCTGGCTTAATAGGATTCGATCAACGATTCCGAGAGGCACCCCTCCTCAGAAAACCTTCGAAGTGGTACTGTAATAACTCATCAGCTCGCTGGACTGGAGTGTTCCCCAATGATCGTGATTGATTTTGGGGATCAAAGTTCAAAGTGCAAAGGGGTCGGTCCGTTCGGTCCAGTCCATCACCTACACACATCGATTGATATAACCCTTCTTTACCCTTCGCCTTAATTCCTCCTTTAACCTTCACCTTAATTCCTGACCTTTTCTTTTAAATTAGTCCACAAGGAGTTCCCTGCAGAATTCCTCATCGCTTAAGATGTGGGCTTTGATGTTCACCATTTTTTTGAATGTGACTCGTATTGTTGTCCAATAAAAGTTGTTTGGTCCTTTCTTTTGTATACATTTCTGACCGAATATGAACACTGATGGATGAACAGCACCTTTCTGAGTTCATCTTTGAGGAGGCTCTCGACAAACAAGTTTGTCCAGTAGCTGTGAAGTATTGTAACTATCCTCGTGCACGTTCGAGTCTCTAGGGTGCTTCTCAGTGCTGAAGCTCGTCTTATACAGGTTCCAGTTAAGCTCAAGAGAACGCAGTAGCCAGTGAAGTTTGCTGAATGTGCGGATGCTAGTGAAGGGATTTATACATAGAATTCTCTTCCAGCCTGAATTAGGAATTCGGCAGGAAGTCAAACGCTTCTGAGACTTTTTGAAAAAAAAAAGAAAGAATCTGGTAACTGGATTGTTGCCCTTCTTTTCCGGCGCATTAGTATTCGATCAACAATTTCGAAAAGCACCTCTACTCAGAAAACCTCCGAAGTGGTTCTGTAATAACTCAATATCTGCGCCGTAACAGCCCGCTGGATAGGAGTGGTCCCAATGATCGTGATTGATTTTGGCGTTCAAAGTCCAAAGTGCACAAGGGTCGCGGTCCTCTCGATCCAGTCCATAATCTACATCCATTGATTGATGTTACCCTTCTTTCCACTTTGCCTTAATTTCCACTGCGAACTCAATGCTTACTTTCCTGGGACGTCGGTTATTAACAAATTTTTTCAAAGTGCAGATGGAACCTTTTGATTCTCTAGGCGGTACAGCTGTAACTCCGTGGGATCGCCACTGCTACTGCCTCATTCATGTCCTCAAGCAGAAAGCTTCCTTTTATCTTCTGGCCTACCGGAACAATTTTTTATTAGCATTTTTCGAGTAGTAATGCAGGTTCAGGACGTACTACCTCAACTGTTTGTGGCAGCTTGAACAGGTAATAGCGAAGATCAAGTAGGTTAGGGTGGATCAACATCCCCGATCATGAAACGGGCCACCTGTCATCGATTTCACGCCGCCCATACTGGCAGGTCTCGGCGTTTCTTCAATTTTTTTCGATTTTGTTAGGTATTATAGTTCAGCTTTATTACGAGTAGAAGTATTTGTTGGCTTCC